GGGAGGAGGGGAAGGGGGGGGAGTGTGTTCTTGAATGGCGGTAGATTCATCTCTGAACAGGTGGGGGGAGGGAGGGAGGTGGAGGGGGGATGGGATAGTAGGTTTATCGATTCACGAGTCATGTAGGGGCATAGGGGGAGATGGGGGGGGGGGGGGTGGGAGGGTAGGAAGGAAGGAGGAGGGAGAGGAGGGAGGGAGGGAGCGCGTGGAAAAGGATGGAGGGAGGGGGAGGAAGGATAGGAGGAGGAAGAAGGAGGAAAGAGGGAGGATAGGGAGAGGAGAAGAGGAGGGAGGGAGGGAGGGAGGAGGGAGGGAGGGGGGGGAGAGGGAAGAGGGGGAAAGGGGAGAGGGGGAGAGGGGCATGGATAGAGAGATTGTAGAAAGTATTACTCTTTTTTTTTTTTACAAGGATAACGTAGGGGTATTGCGGTCGGGCTCAGAACCATTTGTTTTATTTTTTTATATGACTCGTTGTATTTGTTTTTGTTTATTTGCTGTAATAGTATCGTGTCGTGTCCTTTTGTGTCTGTTTCCATGTTTTATTTCTCCCATCTTTTGGGGGATTTTATTTTCATTGTTGTTTTTCTTTCTTCTCTCTTTCTTTCTTTTTTTATTTCTTTCTCTCTTTCTCTCTCTCTCTCTTCTCTCTCTCTCTCTCTCTCTCTCTCTTCTCTCTCTCTCTCTCTCTCTCTCTCTCTCTCTCTCTCTCTCTCTCTCTCTCTCTCTCTCTCTCTCTCTTTCTTTCTTTCTTTCTTTCTTTTCTTTCCTCATCTTTTTTTTGGTGCTTCTGGTGATTACTAACATTGTTTTATTTTTATTTTTTTGTCCTCTTTGTGTACTCTCTTTTTTTCTTTTTTTTTTTACATTTTTCATTCATTCAGTTTTCCGTTTGAATTATTTAATTTTTTAGACATGTTTTTCTTTTTCCAAATATCTTTCACTTTTTTATCCATTTCTCCTTCCTTCCTTCCTTTCTCTCTCCATGCACGAATTTCATTTATTTTCCAAATATCTTTCTTTTTTTTCACTTCTTCCTTCCTTCCTTCCTTCCTTTCTCTCTCCGTGCACGAATTTCATTTCAAACACTCCTCATTCCTCTTTCTCTCCTTCGGACATCTTTATTGTGTTCTCCTCTCTTCCTTTCTTTACATTTTTATCCGTTCCTCCTTTGCTCTTTCTTTCTTTTTGAATATTTATAGAAAACAAATATGAATAATAATTAATGTCTTCACTGCGCAGGAGATGTATTTGACCGATTTTGAATAGAAATATATATATATATTTTTTTTATTGTGTGTGTGTGTGTGTGTGTGTGTGTGTGTGTGTGTGTGTGTGTGTGTGTGTGTGTGTGTGTGTGTATGTGTGTATGTGCGTGTGTGTTGTGTAAGTCAGGTCAGATACATTCAATGCGTTATATGGATATTAATTCTCAATTAAAATATTTTTCTACATTTGTCGAAATGAACACAGCTCATCCGTTTAACATGTTTTCTTTCAATTTCTATTTTTTTCGTTTCTTTTTTTTCATTTTATCCCTCACTTGCCTCCGTCTCTTACACTTCTTTTATCTTTATCCAAACTTCCTTTCTTTTTTTTCGTATTGATATTTCATGTTAATCAAGATTTCCTCCTGTTTTCTTTTCATTTTTTTGTTCTTCTAACTTCATTCCCCTTTTAGTATTCATTCGTTTTTATCGACCTATTTTTTTCATTTCCATTTATCAATTTGTTCTTTCAACTTTTATCCACCTTTTTTCCTCTTCCATTTTATCATCCTTTTTCCTCTTCCATTTTTATCCATCCTTTTTCCTCTTCCATTTTTATCCACACTCCCTTCGCACCTTCCTCTTTATATATATACTTTTATTTCATTTTTATCCAATAAATTTCCCGCTGCAGGTCCCGGATATGTGTCTCAATAGATTTAGTGGGAGCGTTTGCTGTCAAGGAGGAATGAGGATGAATGAGGGAGATGGAGAAGGAGAAGGAGGAAGGAAGGAGGAGGAAGGAGGAAGGAAGGAGGAAGGAAGGAAGGAAGGAAGGAAGAAGGAAGAAGGAAGGAGAAGGAAAGGAGGAAGGAAGGAGGAGGAGGAAAAAAAAAGAAGGATGGAGGAGAGAGAGAAACAAGAAGAGGGAGGAGGAGAGAGAAGAGAAGAAAGGAGAGGACAGAGAGGAAGAGAGAAAGGGAGAAAGGGGGAAGGAAGACAAGAGAAAGGGGAGAAGAAAGAGGAAAAGAAGGAAAGAATAAAAACGGAGAGAAAATTAATCAGAGGGAAGAAGACATAGCAAAAATAGTGATATTAGTAGACAGGAAGAGACGAAAGAAGCATAGGAAAAAGAGGACAAAGAGATGGTGAAAATAAATACGGAGAAAGAAGAGGGGGAAGGAGGAGGTGAAAATAAAAGATAAAGGGGAAGAGAATAGACAGAGACAAGAAAAACACAGAAACAAGATAGTTGAAAGCGGGAGGAAAAGAACGTAAAGATAAAGAGGTCGATGGTTAAACATACAGACAGACATAGAGAATGAAATGGAGAGACAGAAAGATGAATAGACGGAGACAAACAGCAACAGGCGGACAGACAGATAGACAGAGAGACTGACTGACAGATACACACAAACTAACTGACAGATACACACACTTACAGATAGATAGGTAGACAGACAGATAGACTGACAGACAGATACATACAGACAGACAGATACACACAACCTCACTGACAGATACACACACTTACAGATAGACACGGACAGAGACAGAGAGAGAGAGAGAGACACGGACAGACAGAGACAGAGACAGACAGACCGACACGGACAGAGAGACACAGACAGAGAGAGAGCGGACACGGGCGGACAGAGACACAAGAAGGAGAGAGGGACATCGGACAAGGAGAGACAGTGACGAGAGAGAGAGAGGGACACGGACAGACATGAGACAGAGACAGGGACAGACCGACCTTACGGGAACAGAGAGACACAGAGAGAGGAGAAGACACGGATCAGAGACAGACAGGACGAGAGAGCAGACACGGACAGAGGACAGACAGACAGACAGACACGGAAGAGACAGAGACAGACAGACCAGACAGACCAGAGACAGAACAGAGCAGACCCGGACAAGCAGAGACAAAGACAGACCGACAGACCGCAATGGACCCAGAAAGAGAAGAGAGAGGCAGGACCCATTCTGCGTTTGCGTCTGTTGTAAACGTACCTCAACGAATTTCTCGAGTGTTGTTTTTTGCTTGAGAGAAAGGAAAACTTGTTTGGTTACTTGTTTGGTTTGGTTGGGAGTGAAGGAGGGGAGGGGCCCAGGGATGGGAGGAGGGGTAGGGATGGGAGAGGAGGAAGGGGGGATTGGAAGGCAGAGGAGGAGGGCGGGTGGTGGAAGGAGAGGAGAGGAAGAAGGCAAAAGAGAGGAGGAGAAGGTAAGGGTGAAGGAAAGGGATGGGAGACGAGGAAGGGAAGAGGGAGAAGAGGAGGGGAGGAAGGTGAGGAGGAGAAGAAGAGGGATGGAGGGGAGGAGGAGGGAGAAAAAGAAGGGAGAAAGGTGAAGGAAAGGGATGGGAGGTGGTGGAAGGGAGAGGAGGAAGGGAGGAGGGAGAAAAGAAGGGGTGGAGGGGAGGAGGAGGGAGAAGGGGAGGGAATGGGGTGTGTGAAAAGTAGAGGAGGAAGTGGAAGGAAAGTTGTATAAAGGAGAGGATAAGGAAGACGCAATGATATAGTAGAGAGGAAAATAAAGTAAAAAGTCGATAAAAACGAGAAAGCGAAAGAAGGGGAGATGGGGAAAGAGGGTGAGAAAGAAGAATTGAGGAAGTAGGAAGAGATGAAAGGCAATGAATAAGCAAAGGGGAAGCAAAAACTATGAAAGAAAGAGATTCAGAGAAAGATTGATAAGAAAGTTGAGAGAGGAAAAAAAAACAAATAAAAAACGGAAGATTAGGAATAGATAAATGAAACGAAGAGAAAAGAAAAAAGAAGAAAAAAGGAAAAAGGCGAAGAAGAAGAAAGAAGAAAGAAAAAAAAAAGAAAAAAGTAGAAGAAGAAGAAGAAGAAGAAGAAGAAAAGAAAAAGTAAAGAGAAGAAGAAAGAGAAGAAAAAAGAAGAAGAAGAAGAAGAAGAAGAAGAAGAAGAAGAAGAAGAAATAGCAAATGAACTAAAGAGGATAATGATCACGTGCTGGAGGAAAACCGGAAGTTGCGTGTTGTTCCGAGACCGTTGTTCTTTTCCGCACTTTCGAGATAAGCGCACGTGGGGTTTTCCTTCCTTCTTTCTTCTTCTTTCTTTTCCTCTTTCTCTTCACTAACTTCTTCTTACTTCTTCTTTTCCATGCTTTCTCTTTACTTCTTCTTCTTCTTTTCCTGCTTTACTACTTCTTCTTCTGTTTCCTGCTTTCTTCTTCTTCTTCTTCTTCTTTTCCTGTTTCTCCTTCTTCTTTCTTTTATATTCTATTCTTCTGTTTCTCTTTTCCTTTCTACTTCTGTTTCTTCTTTTTTTCTGCTTTTCTTTTTCTTCTTCGTTTTCTCTTCTATTCCTTTTATTTCTGCTTCTTCGTCTTTATCTAATTTTCTTCTCATTTTTCCTTTAATCTTTTTCTTTTTTCTTCTAATTCTTTGATGCTGTTCTCTTTTCCTTTTTTCTTACTCATTTTTTTCTCTTCTTCATTCTCCTTTTCTTCGTCGTCTTCCTCTTTCATTTGAAGAGTATTCTTTTCTATCCTTTTCCTCCTCCTTCCTTTTCCCCTTCCCCAGCTTCCTTCTCCTTCTTCCTCCTCCTCTTTTCCTTCTTTCCCTCTCCTCCCTCTCCTCTTCCTCTTCTTTTTATCTTCCTCATAATCATCATCTTGTTCATCCCTCCTCCTCTTCTTGTTCCTCCTCCTCCTCCTCCTCCTCCTCCTCCGCATCAGCTGTTAGCCAGAATAATAGACGATCCAAAATTGCATAGATAGAATAGATTTATTGCAGAGAATAAATCATTCTCCGATCCTTTTATAATTCAGGATGAGAAGAAGCATGATAAAGAGGAGGAGGAGGACAATGCAATCACAGACAATACAAGAGCAATGGGACCCTTTAATATTATTCTAATAGATCCTAAATACAATAGCCTATATACTCAAGGTTCAGATCCAAAATACAACGGATTTATGCAAAAGCCTCTGTCAAAATACGACAGATTATACACAAGGTCCCGGCCCAGAATACAATAGCTTATACACAAGCCCCGACCCAAAATACGACAAATTATACACAGGCCCCGACCCAGAATACAAAAAGCTCTACACAAGACCCGTCCCAAAATACAACGGGTTATACACCAAGGATGACCCAAAATACGAGAGCTTATACACAGAAGCCCCCCGACCCAAAATACAGGAGGTTATACACAAGGCCTGATCCAAAATACGACAGACTATACACAAAACCACAATCCAAAATACGACAAGTTGTACACAACGCTGCCCGCCCAAAAAAATACGATGACAGCTAAAATCCAAAAAACCTAACCGACCCCATAATAAGCCCGCACCCCACCCCCACCCCCACCCCACCCCCCACCCCCGTCCAAAATGCAACAGCTATATACACATGCTAATACCACCTTCGAAATGCCGCGTTGAACTATTGTCTCGGTTGTTATTGGAATCGGATGGGGTGGCGGGCGGCTGCAGAATGGCCTTGCAAACCGCGCCACCTGGAATGAGTGTCAGGTGGCACTGTCAACAGGTCAGAGTGGGGAGATGGAGGAGGGGAGGGGGAGGGATGGGGAGGGGAGAGATGGGAGAGGGTAGGAGGAGAGGAGTGTGAGGGATGGGGTGGGGTGGGGAGAGAGAAAGGGAGGGAGGGGAAAGGAATTGAAGAAGATGGAGAGAGACGGACAGAGACAGAGAGAGAATGAAATAGATAGTGGAATGAGCGTGAGAGAGAGAGAAAAAGAAATAAATAAAAGAAATATAGATAGCTATATAGGAAGAAGAGAATAAAAAGAGAGAGAGAGCGAGAAGGAGAGACAGAGAGAGAGACAGAGACAGAGACAGACTGGCGTGAGGTTGGGTCGCTTTTGCACACGAAATTCTCAACACCAGAGTCGCCGATTTTTCTCTTTCTTTTTTCTTTTCTTTCTTTCTCTTTTTCTTCTTGAGGGGGGAGGGGTGGGGGAGGCAGAAAGTTTTCTTTGTTGTGGAGTAATTATTGTTTTTTTTCCAAGGTGATAGAAAGAAGAGAGAGGAGGATGGTAAGGAGGAAGATGATGAGGATTGAGAAAGAGAGAGAGAAGACAGAGACAGACAGAGAGAAAGAGAAGAGAAGAGAAGAGGAGACAGAGAGAGAGAGAGAAGAGAGAGAGAAGAGAAGAGAGAGAGAGAGAGAGAGAGAGAGAATAGAAGAAGAATAAGGCAAAAGATAAAAAGAGAGGGAAGGGAAAGACGAAGAAATTGCTGATGAGGTGGAACGAGGGATTGAGAAAATGGTGATAACGGGGAAATGCAGGAATAAAATGTGGAGAGAGAGGGGAAGAAATGAGGATGAGAGAAAAGGGAATAAAGTGAGAAACTGAAGGAACGAAGTGCATGATCAGGCGAAGGCTCAAAGGAACCAGAGAAAAAAAGGGAAGAATAAAAAAGGGAGATAGAGTGAGAAAGAGAAAGAAAGACGGGACTGATGAGGAGAGAAAGAAGAAAGAGGAAATTGTTAAAGATAAAAAGAAGAAGTAGAGAAGAAAGGAGGAGGAGGAGGAGGAGAACGTGGAAGGAAAAAAAAGAAAAGAAAAGTTGAAGAGAGAGGAGGATAAGAAGAAGAAGAAAGAAAATAAGAAAAAGAAAAGGAAGTGGGAGAGGAAGAAGAAGAAGAAGGAAAAAAAAAAAAAAAAAAAGAAAGTAGAAGAGAAAGAAGGAGAAAAAGAAGAAGAATAAAAAAGAAGGTAGAAGAGAAAAGAGAAGAGAAGGAGGAGGAGATGAAGGTGGAGGAGGAGGTGGAAGGACCTGAGCTCGAGCAGCCAAAGACAGGAAGGAGGGGAAGCGACAGAAGATCCCTTATGTGATGAGGTTACCATCCCCTCACGCCCACCTTCCCCTCGTGGGCGGCCACCTGTCTTTCGGGGTCTTCTCTCTTCTTTTCTCTTTCTCTTTCTTTTTTTCTCTTTCTCTCTTTCACTTTCTTCTCATCTTTTCTTCTCTCTCTTTCCTTCTCTTTCTCTGTCTCACACCCTTCCCTTTTCTCTTTCTTTCTTCCTCTCTTTTCTTCTTTCCTCCTCTTTCTCTTTTTCTACTTTTCTTTATATAACTATATTTCTGTCCTCTCTTCTCTTCTCATCTCTTGACCTATCATTTCTCATATTTTTAAAAATCATCATCGTTGATATTACTCTTAATGTTTTGTATTACTATTATATGTTTATTATTATCATTATTATTAATATTTCCTTTTCCATTTCTTTTTAACCCATCTTTCTCCTCCTGTTCCCTTTCTAACCCCCGCCCCCTCCCCCTCCCCCTCTCCTTTCATACATGTAGTTCATTGCGAATCCCAAGTTGGCACCCCTGCTCTCAGTGCAGATTACGCGTCTCTGTAACGTTGGCAGCCCTGAGTGTGTCTCTGATTGTGGTGACTGTCAGTGTGGCAATTGTGGTACCGCGAGATAGTGTGTGAGAATGAGAGAGAGAGGGGGGGGGGGAAAGAGGGGAAAGGGGAATGGGAAGGGGGAAGGGGGGAGAGAGAAGGGAGAGGAGGAGGAGGGAGGGAGGGAGGGGGGGAGAGGAGAGGAGGAGGAGGGAGGATGGGGGAGAGGAGAGGGGAGTGGTAGGGGAAAGGGAGAAGGAGAGGGAGAGAGAGAAGCGAGAGAGGAGAGAGAACAGAGAGACGCGAAGAGAGGGAGAAAGAGAACTGAGAGAGAGAGAGAGAGAGAGAGAGACACTTACCCTTCCTCTCATCTCTGCTCTTTCACTTACGATATTTTCGTTGAAGTTTTTATAGCCTTCTTTGCCGTCTTGAGGTCCAGATAGAGAGGCTGGGAATGGGAGAATGAGATAAAGGAGGGAATGGAGAAAAGGAGATGATAATAAGAAAAAAGGAATTTGGGGAAAAATGGCACAGGAGGAGATAATGAGTGAGAGGGAGAGTAGATAAGGGATAAAGAAAAGGAAGAGGAAGAGATGGATAGAAATGGAACGAAACGCATCGTGTGTGTGTGTGTGTGTGTGTGTGTGCTGTCTGTCTGTCTGTCTTGTGTGTGTGTGTGTGTTGTTGTATCTGTGTGTGTGTGTGTGTATCTGGTTGTTGTGTGTGTGTGTCTTGTTATCCTGTGTGTGTTGTGTGTCTGTGTGTCTGTCTGTCTGTTGTCTGTTCTGTGTTCTGTTGTTGTGCTTATGTGTGTATGCGTGTGTGTGTGTTCTATCTGTCTGTAATCGTGTGTAGGCGAGCTTATTTTTATGCAACGTAGTTGTATGTATCGTGCGCGTAGTGTGTGGATTACGTATCGCATGAGTCACTGCGCGTACGAATGATTAAATAGATAATTATGTGACTAACACCTTTTCATAGAAAGCGAAAGAGGTAGAGAAAGAAAAGGGAAATAAAGAAAAGAAAGAAAGGGAATTAAAAAAAAAAGAATAATAAAATAAAGAAACAAAGAAAATAAAGAAAATTGTGTTAGAGAAAGAAAGGGAATTAAAAAAAAAAGAATAATGAAATAAAGAAACAAAGAAAAATAGTGTGAAGAAAATGCAAAGACGTAACGGAAAATGGTACGAAGAATAGACAAAGAAAAGGGCGAATGGAGCGACGATGGAGGAAGTGCGAGAGAAAAAAAAAAGAAAATGATGGTCTAGGAAGAGAGAAAATGATTTTATCTCCTCCTTGGATTACGCGAAAGAAGAAGAAAGGAGAGGAGGAGAGGAAGAGCGAGAGGCCCGTCATATATTTTTTTTCTTTTTCTTTTCTTTATTTTCTTGAATCTTTTCTTTCTTCTTTCTTTTTCTTTCTGGGTTTCTTTCTTTTTCCTCTTTTTCTTTTTTATATCCTTAGTTTTTTTCTTTTCTTTCTGGCTTTTTTTCTTTTTTCTTTCTTTCTATCCTTAGTTTTTTTTCTTTTCTTCCTCTCTGTCTTTCTTTTTCCATCCTTTCTCTTCCTTTCTTCCTTTCTTTCTTTTTTCTCTTTAATTCTATCCTTATTTTTTCTTTTCTTTCTTTTTGTCTTTCTTTTTCCATCCTTTATCTCTTTTTCTTTCCCATCCTTTCTCTCCTTTCCTTTTTCCTTCCTACTCTTTCTTGGTCCTTTCTTATTTCCTTCCTTTCTTCCTTTTATGCGTATTGAGCGACAGGAGGAAATCGGGAGTTTCCTTTGGCGATTTTCCTGCGCTCGAGGCGTCGTGTCATCCGAGATTTAATCTTTATTTGTTGCTTATTTTCTCTTTCCCCAAACTCTCCCCCTCCTCCTCCCTAATTCCCTCCTCCCCCTTATCCCTCCCCAACTCCCTCCTCCTCATGTCTCCTCCATCTCAACCCCTCCAACCCTTCCCCTCCCCGTCCCCTCCCCTCCCCTACTCCTCCCTAACCTCTCCCTTCCCCCTCCTCTCCCCTCTCCCAACCCTCCCCTCCCCTCCTCTCCCCTCCTCCAACCTCCCCCTCCCCTCCTCTCCCCTCTCCACCCCCTCCTTCCCCCTCCTCCAACCTTCCCCCTTCCTTCTCCCTCCTTCTTTCCCCGCCCTCCCTCCTCCACCCTCCCCCTCCCCTTCTCCCTCCTTCTTTCCCCTCCTCCTCCCACCCTTCTCCCTTCTCCCCTTCCTTCCAACCCTCCAACCCTCCCCCTCCCTTCTCTCCTCCTTCTTTCCCTCCTCCAACCCTATCCTCTCCCATCCTTCCAACCCACCCTCCCCTTCTCTCCTTCTTTCAAACCCCCCCCTTCTCCCTCCTTCATCCCCCCCTTTCTCCCTCTTTCTTTTCCCCTCCCCTCCCTTTCCTCTCATCGTTAGTTATTTTTGCAAAGGAAATGAGTGTTGGAGCTGTACTTAATATCCCGAGAATGGCGATCGTTATGGTGCAACGTGTGTGTGTGTGTGGGGGGGGTTGTGTGCGGGTGTGTGTGAGCTGTTGTGTGTGTTGGGGGTTGTGTGTGGGCGGGTACGATGTGTTGGATGTGTGTGTGCTGCTTCATATATATCTTCTTTCTATTCTATTTATGTATAATATACATATAATATATATAATATATATATATATATATATATAATATATATATATTAATATATATAAGTATATATATATAATATATATATATATTAATTATATAATGATATATATATATATATTATATATATATATATATATATATATATATATATAATATAATATATATGTGTGTGTGTGTGGATGGGGGAGGGTTGTGCGGTGTTCGTTGTGTTCGCGTGGGTGTTTACGTTTATGTGTATATGTCTACTAAACAGTAATATGGATTCTTCCAGTTGCCCATTTATTTATGTCGATTACAGAACTTTTTTTCCCTATTTTTATTACCTTCCCTATTTTGTCGATCCTCGACCCCCCCCCCCCGACAGATCGCTCTCACCCAACCCTCCTCCTCCTCCTCCCCTCCTTCGTCCTCCCCATCATCCCTCCTCCCCTCCCTCGGACGTCGCTTTTCCCCCCCTCCCCCCATCCCCCCTCCCCTCCTCCTCGCCCTCGCGCCAATGTGCAGCCGGGCGTCGGGCGTCGGCGTGCGGCGTGGACTCCTTGATGGCGGCCTTGTTTAAAAGCGCTTTAATATCGGGAAAGGATATTTTGAGGGGCGGCGGCGTGATAATGGCCGGTTGTTTGGGCATATCGCGGTTGAGAACGGCTTCGGTGGGGGAGGATGGGGGTGGGTGGGGTGGGGGGAAGGGAGAGGGAGGTGGGGGGTGGTGATTGGAGGGGAGGGAGGGGAGGATGGGGGAAGGAGGGAGAAAGAGAGGGGAGGAAGTGGGGAGAAGTAAATAGAAGAGAAGATAATAAAGGAGAAGAAATAGAAGGAAGGGGAATAAAAAGATGGATGAAGAAGAAGAAGAAATAGAGAAAATGGGTGGGGGTAAGTGGGAGGGGGAGGGGGGGGGGAGGATTTCGCCGCTCGCCCCTCTCCTCCTCGTGATTTCCCTTTGGGGCCACTTTCGCTTCTCTCCGCCTCCCGCTCTCGCGCTTTCGCTTTCCGCTTCGAATTCGCGGATTTTTTTTTTTTTTTTTTTCGCTCTGTGTATATTTATTCTCGTATTTCGTCTTTTCAGAATTTTTTTTTTCTTTTTTCTCTTATCTTTCTTTTTTTTTTTATTTTTTTTTTATTTCTCTCTCTCTCTTCCCCCTTCCCTCCCTCTCTCCATCCTTCCTTCCTACCTACCTACTACCTACCTACCTTCCACCTTTCCCTCGAGAGGGAAGGAGAAGAGAGAGAGAGAGAGAGAGAGAGGAGAGAGAGAGAGAGAGAGAGAGAGGAGAGAGAGAGAGAGAGAGAGACAGAGAGAGAAACGAGAGAGAGAGAACGAGAGAGAGCGAGAGAGAGAGAGTGAGGATAGAAAGAAAAGGAACGATGAGAGAGAGAGAGAGAGGGAGATCCCCGAGCACGAAGCGGGGTCCTTCGACAGCGCCGTCGATCAGTCCCCGTCAAGTGTTTCTGGCGTGATGGAATTGTACAACATCATGGTTATTGTTATTGTTAGTGTTATTGCTGTGCTGTTCTGCGTCTGATATTGATGTATTCGGTTTGTTCCGATTGCGGGCGGGGGAGGGGGAGGGGGGATTTATCAGTGGTCTAGGATGGGGTCTTGTTCTCTCGGCCTCGCTTTCTCTTTCTTTTTTTTTCTTTCATTCTTTCTTTTTTCTTTCCTTTTCTTTTTTCATTTTTCTCTCTTTTTCTCTCTCTCTATCTTTCTCTCTCTCTTCTCTATTTTCTCTCTCTCTCTCTCTCTCTCTCTCTCTCTCTCTCTCTCTCTCTCTCTCTCTCTCTCTCTCTCTCTCTCTCCTCTCTCTCTCTCTCTCTCTCTCTCTCCCTTTCTCTCCCTCTCTCCCTCCTCTTTCCCTCCCTCCCTCCCCTCTCCCTCTTCCCTCCCCTCCTTTCCTCTCCCCCATCACTCCCTCTTGCTCTCCCTCCCTCTCCTCCTCCCCCTCCCTCCCCTTCCTTCTCCCCGCAGTTACATGTTCCTTTATGTTTACAATGTGTAAATGTTCACACGGCGTCCGTATCCCTGGCTGATGGCTTGCTCGTCAACCCCGACCTCAAACCACGATTTTCCACTAAATCTTTTTTTCTCTCTTTTCAGCGCCACCTCCTCCGGTTACACGGGTGACCTCGGCGCCACGGTGGTGTCCCAGGTCATCACCCCCTGGCAGGGTCTGGGCCTCGAGTTCCTCCTGACCTTCGTGGTGGTGTTCGTGGTGTTCGCCTCCGTCAACCCCTACCGCAGGAGCCTCGGGAACCCCGCTATGGCGATCGGGGTTGGCCTACTCGCTTGCACGCTCGTTGGGTGAGTTGGGTGTTCGGGTTTTGTTTATTTTATGTGTAAGATCGGAGAGTGAGAGAGTGAGTGAGTGAGTGAGTGAGTGAGTGAGTGAGAGAGTGAGTGTGAGAGTGAGGTGAGTGAGTGAGTGAGAGAGTGAAGGAGAGTGTGTGGTGAGTGAGAGGATTTTATTTGAGAGAATCGTTTTGGAAGAGGAAGGAGAGTGGGTGAGAGTTGAGCTGGAGTTTCGTTTAGTTAGATGAGAGAGAGAGAGAGAGGAGAGAGAGAGGAGAGAGAGAGAGAGAGAGAGAGAGAGAGAGAGAGAGAGAGAGAGAGAGAGAGAGAGAGAGAGAGAGAGAGAGAGAAGGAATCATCGAAAAAGAGAGAGAAAAAACTCGAAAGAGATAGAAAAAAAAATTGAAATAGAGAGAGAGAGAGTTTTAGGTCACTTTTTGGATTTTTATTTGCGTTTTAATCGTTTTGGAAGAGGAAGGAATCGAGCTGGGGTGAGTTTGGATGTTGGGGTTTTGTTTATTTTATGGATGTGTGTGTTTATTTGGGGTTTAGGTCACTTTTTTTACATTTTTATTTCTGTTTTGATCGTTTTGGAAGAGGAAGGCATCGAGCCGGAGTGAGTTTTATTTATTTTATGGGTGTGTGCGTTTATTTGTGGTTTAGGTCTCTATTTTACATTTTTATTTCTGTTTTAATCGTTTTGGAAGAGAGAGGATTCGATCTGGGGTGAGTTTTGGATGTTCGAGTTTTGTTTATTTGTGTTTTAGGTCTTTTTCGTATTTTTCTTTCTGTTTTGGTCGTTTTGGACGAGGAGGGAATCGAATCGACGTTGGTTATTGGCTAATGGTCGAGGTTTCGGGAGCGCTGATTGGTTCTTAGTTCGCCCTTCATGTGATGTCGAGCGCTGATTGGAGAATGTCAGCCAATCAGCGGCCGTGGCATTACAAGCGACAGCCAATCAGCGATCTCGACTTATCCCGCGCTTCGAAACTTGTGATGTTTACCGTTTGAGATTAAAATTTGTATTTGTCGTAATTATTATTTATGGATGTTGTCAGTGGTATATACATATCATTTATATTGACATTCTTCCTGCTTCTGTTTTCGTTTTTGTTGTTGTTTTATTCTCTATTCTTTTTCTTTTCTTTCTTTTTACGAATATAGATTTAAGAGAGCTAGTTTTTTTCCGTAAATGTGTCATTACTCCCTCGCTGATTCATATATATTGATATACATTTGTATATTAACCCCTTTCCTTAATTATCTGAATTCATCCGTACATCCATATACTTAATGAAATACTAGCATTAGAAGACTACTAAGAAATCTATCAATCTATCTATCTATATGTCTACTAAGAAATCTATCTATCTATCTATATTTTTCTTTTTCTTTTTGATTTTTTTCTTTCTTTTTTCATGACACCTTTACCTTTAATGACATTTTGTGGAATTTAGAAAGAAGAAATCTATCTATCTATCTATCTATTTTTTTTTCCTTTTCTTTCTTTTCTTTTTTTTCGTGACACTTTACCTTCAAGTAACAAGAAATCTATCTCTATATATTTTTTCTTTTTTTTTCATGACACTTTTACCTTTAATAACATTTCGTGCAATTTAGAAAGAAGAAATCTATCTATCTATCTATATATTTTTTTTTGTCTTTTTTTTTTTTTTTTTTTCTTTTTTTTCTTTTTTTCTTTTTTTTTTCATGACACCTTTACCTTCAATAACATTTCGTGCAATTTAGAAAAGAAAATCTATCATTTTTTTCTTTTTCTTTTTCTTTTTTCTTTAGAAAGAAGAAATCTATCTATCTATCTATAATATTTTTGTCTTTTTCTGTTTTTCTTTCTTCTTTTATTCTACTTTTCTATATTCTAGAAAGAAAAATCTATCTATCTATGTATATATGTTTTTTTTTTTTTTGTCTTTTTCTTTTTTTTTCTTTTTTTCATGACACCTTTACGTTCAATAACATTTTGTGGAATTTGCATGTTGGTTGCGTGATAAGGCGGTGGTTAACTGTTGCTTGGGGCGGGGGGCTTAGGGAGGGGGAGGGGGAAGGGGAGGGGTGAAGGAGGGGAGGACACCACTCCATGACCACACCTTAAGGCCACGCCCATTTTTGGTAACCACGCCCTTCGTAGGCGCCGTCTGCGGGTGGTGTGTGTGTGTGATTATTCTTGTCTTGTGCGTCTTTGTATTTTTTTTTTTTTTTTTTTTTAATGAGGTTATTTGCTTGGTTTTCCTCTGATTGTTTTGCCATGAATGTTATTTTTCATTTTCGTCTATATTTCATTCTTTATTTTTTATTATCTGTTTTCCCCATGGTTTCATAATAACCATTATTGTTGCCCCTTGAGAGAGAGAGAGAGAGAGAGAGAGAGAGAGAGAGAGAGAGAGAGAGAGAGAGAGAGAGAGAGAGAGAAAAAGAGAGAGAGAGAGAGAGAAGAGAGAGAGAGAGAAGAGAGAGAGAGAGAGAAAAACGAAAGAGAGAGGAAGAGAAGAGAAAAGTAACAAAAGAGAATAACAGTAAATCATGACGTTTCGAATAAGTCTAGAATCCTCGTCAGGTGATTTTTTTCAGAATCATCGCCTCTTCTTGTGAATCCGCTTCAATTTATTCAAGTCTTTGCATTTTTTTTCTCTCGTTATCTCATTTGCATCGTATTTTTTGTTTCTCCCTGAATTTATGATCTCTCTCTTTTCCGTATCTTTATATTTTCTTGATTATCTTTCTTTTCTCACTTTTTTTAAATCTATATTTCACCTTTTTTATTTTTTTCTCACTTTTTAATGTTTTTTTCTCCCTTTGTTTATTTTCCGTATCTTTGTATTTTCTTCATTTATCTTTGTCTTCGCGTTTTTTATTTATCTGTACTGTTCTCCATTTCTTTTCTTTTTATTTATCGCACCCACCTTATTTATCTTTTTTGCTTTCGTTTTTATCTGTGCTTTTCTCACTTTTTTATCGCCCCCATCTTATCATTATTTCTTCACGTTTTTATCTGTGCTTTTCTCTCATTCTTCTCCCCTTCCTCCCTCCTCTCCCCCTTTTATCATCGAGGTCATTTACCATCCAATTCCTGACCGTCCATCTCGAGTCATCAGTCACTTGTCATATAAAGGCAGATCTATCATCATCTTCCTTTTCTTCTTCTTTAGCTTTTTTTTGTTGCTTCTTCGTCTTGTTCTTGATTATTGTTTTTGTTTCTGTTTCTGCTTTTTTTGTTTCTTTTTTATTATTGTTCTTGTTTCTTCCTCTTCTTCCTTTTCTTCTTCTGTTGCTTCTTCTTCGTCTTGTTCTTGATTGTTATTTTGTTCTGCTTTCTGTTTTGTTTCTTTTTTATTATTATTGTTCTTGTTTCTTCCTTCCGCTTCTTTTCCTTCTTGTTTCTTCTTTTGTTCTGCTTCTTGTTTTTTCTTCTTTTTCTTTCTCCTTCCCTTTCCTTTTCCTTTTCTGTTTCTTTTGTTTTCTTTTCTATTTTCTTTTTCTTCTTTTTCTTCTTTCCTCTTCTGCTTCTTGTTTCGTCTTCGTCGTCTTCCTCCTCTTCTTCTGTTTCTTTTATTCTTCTTTTTTCCTCTGCTTATGTTTCTTGTTTGTTTTTTCGTCTTTTCCCTCTCCTTGTCATCAACTGCTTCGTCTAATTGTTCTCATTTTATATTTTCCCCCTTTCCTCCCCCCTTCCCCTTTCGTCTCCCTCTCCCCTCAACCCTTCCCTTTCGTCGTCTCCCCCTTTCCTTTCCCCTTCCCCCATGCCTTTCTTTTCCCTTTCCTCTCCCCCTTCCCCCATCCCTTCTTCCCCTTCCCCTTTCCACTTCCCTTCCCTTCCCTTCCCCCTTCCCCCCTTCCCTTCCATCCCCCCTTCCCCCCTTTCCCTTTCCTCTCCCCCTTCCCCTTCCCTTCCTCCTTCCCCCCTTCCCCTTCCCTTCCCTCTCCCCCCCTTTCCTTTCCCTTCCCTCTCCCCTTCCATCCCCCTTCTCCCTTTTCTCTCCCCCCCCTTTCCCTTTCCTCCCTTTCCTCCCCCACCTTTGGCATGTGGCCCAGCTGCCTTGTGCATTACGGCGCCCATGATAAAACTGGTCACGAACTTGTTATCTGTTTTGAGGTGAAAGGGATTTGGGGGAAGGCGACGATAAAAACGAGGGAGGGGAGAGAGGGAAGAGAGGGGAGGGAGAGAGGGAGAAGGGAGAGGGAGGGAGAGAGGGGAGGGAGGGGGAGGGAGAGGGGGGAGGGGAGGGAGAGAGGGAAAGGGAAGGGGAGGGAGGGGAAAGGGAGGGTGAGGGAGAGGGGGAAGAGGGAGGAGGTGTTAGAAAGGTGGTGGGGAGGAAGAGAGAGAAGGAGGGAAAGGGAGATGGAGGGAGGGAAGGGAACGGGAAAGATAGGGGAAAGGATGGAAGGGAGAGGGAGAAGGAGAGAGAGGAAGGAAGTGAGAGAAAAGAAGAGCAGGAATAAAAGGAATTGGTTTTGAAAAGAGAGAAGTGCGTTGAGACAAGGGAAAGGGAGAATTAGAGAGAGGAAAGGGAGAGAGGAAGGAGAATGAGAGGAATATGAAGAAAGGAGGGAGAACGATGGAAGTGAAAAGTGAGTGAAAACAGCGACAGAGTAAAGGGAGGAGAGAAAATGGCAAAAATAGAAAACAAAAAGATTATGAATTTTAATGATAGGACAGGATTAAGAAATTAATTAATTGGAGAAACAAATCATAGATTGATGAAGAGCGGAAGGAGACAAGAAGCAAAGGAAAGAAAGAAATGTGCAATACCAGAAACAGAAGGAGAAAGAGAAGAAGAAAAGGCAATAAAACGAACGGAGAGAGATGAAAGGAGAAGAAGAATGCAAAAAAATGATAGAAAATTTTCACCCAAAAAGTTTAACAAAGAATTCCTGTCAATGAGAGAAAAAGAAGAGAGGAGAGAGGAGAAAGAAGAAAAGAAAGAGAGGAGAGAGAGAAAGAAAGAGTGAGAGAGAGAGGAAAACTTGAGAAATTGCCAAGAGGAAATAGCACA